CCTGCCAAATTTTTTTGTTTTTTGTTTTTTTTTTAAACTATATATCCCAGGCTAGCCTCAACCTCCCCGGTGAGTATCCTGCCTCAGCCTCCCCAGTGATGGAGGACGTGCATCACCATGCCTGGCTTCACCTCAGAAATTTAATAGCTAACAATAATATTCGAATTTATAATAGCTAAACTATGGAAGCAGATTTAGAAGCCCGCCAACAGCTGAATGGATAAAGAAAATGTATATATACACAATGGAGTACTTATTACACAGACAGAGAATGTAATCACATCATATGCAGGAAAACAGATTAAACTGGAGATTATCCTGTTAAGCACAGTAAGCCAGACTCAGACAAATATTGTACATTTTTTTTCACACATGCAACAGTAACACAAAAACAACTAAAATCAGAGAGATGGAGCCGGGGATTTAGCGCAGCAGCATAAGCACCTGCCTGGCAAGCGCAGGTCATGAGTTCGATACCCCATACAAAAAAAAAAAAAAAAAAAAAAAAAACCAAAAACCCAGCCAGATGTCATCAGAGCAGAACATGAGGGAGTATCGGGAATGGGGGAGTGACGTGCAAGAGGGAAAGCAGCAGGAGGAATGATCACAGTATGTTGCATGCAGCTATAAATCTGCCAAAATGAAACTCATTCATCTGTATAATGAACATTTGCTAATAATAAAAAAGCAAAAAAGAGACTTTAGATTTCATGAAAACAGTTTACAGGAGACCTCACAAAGGAATACGCTCTCTCTCGATGAGTGAGTTTTTAAGTTGTGGAATTTATGTTGGTTCCATTGCTTTCTTGAGATTTCTCATCTGTTTATGACCATGTTTTCCTTTAAATCCTTTTACTCTGTCAGGGATGAAAGCAGAATTCACCCTCCTTGTAGAAGGATATATATATTTAACTTTTGTTGACTACCAAGGTTGTCAGCATGTTCTCTCAGTGTTCATCTGGCAACTATTTATCACATGCACCATGTATCGAGAACTTTGTTAGATGTAATGATGAACAGGACAGATGAAATCTTTGTCATTGGAAAGATAATAGTCTTCTACCTAAAGCGAATAATAATCTCTTCTCATTCACCACGTAAGACAGATAAAATACATGGTGTCTTTCAGTCTAGATTATTCACTTAACATTATCTCCATTCCATTCATTTTCCAGGCTGACTAGAAATGGAATAGGTACATACAAAAGACTGCATGTGTTTCTTCTCTTAATTTCTTCAAAGGACGTTAAAGCAAAAAAACCTCAACACTGTACTATGCAGTCTATTATGTACATAGATGTAGTTCATATGATAATAGCAGTAAGAGATGAAAAATGCTTTCATTTAAATGATAAGCATGAGGAAGATGATATTAACATCAGATGCAGGAAACTTTGGCAGCACAAAGACTAAAGAGAAATATTTCACAACAAAACAGGTCAGTTTATTAGAACACTTAATCATAAATGCAAGTAATCCCAAGAGAATTAAGAGATAAAGCATAATCACAGATGAAGAGTTCCACATGATCAGCTGTAATGCCGTACTGAAATTATTAAGGATATGATTGGAAGAATATAGGAGAAAAAGTAAAATTACAGAAAGTCTCATTACCATTTTTAAAATTCTCAGTCCAAATGGCATTTACTAACCACTATACCAAACTACAAAATAAAATTATATTTAAGAACTCGTGGAATGCCTTGAAATAAAACAAATCGCTGTAAATTTACTGACTAAATCTTAGAATACGTTCTCTGACCACAAAGTAAAAGTCAGCAATAAAATATTGATATTTAGAAATCAAAAAACATAATTTTAAATAATCTACAGATCAAAGAAATCAGAAACATGATTAGAAAATATGCCAAGGGTTTGAGATGAGGCTCAGTGTTAAGAGTGACTGCTTAGCACACATAAAGCCCTGGGTTCAGTACTTAGTACCAACCCTCTTCCCAAAATTTAAACAATAAAAATAAAATACAGCATAAAAATCTGTAACATGCAGTTAATACAATGCTTAAATTACACACACACACACACACACACACACACACACACACACACATAAAATCTTTAAAGTTGCTTATGGAAAAGAAACATTTAAAATTAATGACTTGTTTCTGCTTTAAGAGACTTTAAAAAGAGCAAACTAAACCTAAAGAAGGAAATAATAAATCAATGAGATAACATTAAAACAACAGAAAAAAGTCAGTAATACTAAAGATGGGTTCTTTAGGAAAGTCAACAGAACTGACAAGTCCCTAGTAAGACTGGGGAAGAAAAGGGGAAGAAATTATCAAGACGAGCGATACACAGGATGGTATTACTACAGACCCTACAGGCACTACCAAAAATGTAGTATCTAAAATTTAACACCTTGATTAAAATCTAACAGCTCCTTGAAAAATATGTCTGGAGTTGATAAAATAGGAAGTAAAAAATGTGATTATATCACTACCTATTTAGGAAAATAAATTTATTATCAAAATTCTTTCCACACACACACACACACACACAAATTCCAGTCAGACAGTATAACCAGTAAATTCTTAAGACAAAAGAAAAAAAATATCAATTTTATACAAACACTTTCAAAAAAGAGGTTAACATTGTACAGCTCATTTTATGCAGTTGACACAATTCTGATACCAAGGTATGACCCTGAATATTCTTTACGTTTATCAAATATTTATTAGTATGTACTTTGTTCCACATAATTGAGCAAATTGTTTTTGGCTTCTTTAACAAAGAAGGCTTTCTCTGACTACTATTTACAAACTTTCACAGAGAGAATCATCCCAAGGGGCCATGGATATAGAGCAGCAGCACAGCGCCTGCCTGGCAAGCACCTGGTCCTGAGTCAGGATTTCTGGTAAACTTCTCTCTCTTCCAAAAAGGAATCAGTCCACTGTTGGCATTAGTTTTATGGCTAATTATCTGTTCTGTTTAATTCCTCATAGTTTCTATTTCCTTTTCTGTAAAATGGGAATAATGGCAGTACCTAAAAGGAAGTCACCTTGAATACTTAACTGTCTCCCACACAAGTGATCAACAGCTATTATCATCACTATCCTTGGATTTGTATTTTTCCTTTTAACAGGACATCCTAATTCTTCTCATGTCTGAGTTAAACATGCAACCATACCATGATTCTTTCTTATCTACCAGTATAACAACATCCTTTCTTTGTGCCTGTGGGACAGACAACTTTAAGTACAAGTTTTAAAGCATGGGGGAAGAAGAAAAGTGTTATGGCTCGATCTAGATGCCCCCAAAGCCTCTTCTGGTCATTGGTAGGGCTATGAGAGCATCTGGATCTAAGTGTGTGATTGCTAAGTTAGTCCACTGACTGGTTTGAGGTAGTTGTGGGAGTGGGTAATAGGAAGGCCCACCCTGGGTGTGAGTGCCACCTGCCCTTAGGATACGTAGCCTGGACAGAACACAAAGGACAAAAAGAGGGCTGCTGTGGTCTCTGGTCACTTGCTGCCTTCTGCCTGCCTGCCACCCTTCCTAGGAGCTGGTCAACTATGAACTGGAACCTCTACAAACCGTGAGTGGAAATAAACCTTCCCACCTTTAACTTTGGGTCTTGGATATCTCAAAAATGAGAAAAGACAAGCCGGAAGAGGGAGGAGAGAGAAAATTACTCTTAGTTTCGCAGTATTCACATTTCCTAAAATAGGTATATCTCCAAGGAATGAATGCAATATACAAAATTATTCAACATGAGATTCATTTTTAACACACATTTGTCATGGTTTATGTCTGTAGCCCCCAGGCCTCATGAGTTTGCGTTGTGCATTTGTGATGGTTCATTGTCTAGTGCTTAGATTGATGCTGTCAGTGCTACACTGGCCTAGGGGTGGAGCCAGGATGTAATGCAATGGCAGGAAGAAGGTGTGTCTTGCTCTCTGCCAGATCCTGCTTGCTGTTTGCAGCCTCCATGAATGGCAGTCCTGCCATGCCAGCCTGCCTTGGAGCCAACTGAGTATGGACTGAAACCTCCAAAAACTGTAATAAACCTTTCCTCTCCCAACTTTGGGCTTCAGGTATTTTGTCTCAGCGACCAGTAAAAAGTAACTAAGACAACATTAAAAAAGGAAAGTGCATTGTAAATGATTTATTAACATTTAACTGCAGGAAACTTCTAAGAAAAGTCTCTTCCACAAAGGTAGGAAACCTGCACCAACCACTGTTTCTGGGAATATTAACCAATCAGCCTCCACCTGAGAAGGCTCCAGCTCTTGACACTTTCCTCACTGCAGACATCATAAGGAGAGGCAGAAATGGAAGAGGCAGAGACTGCAAAGAAGCAGGCGAGGAAGAGCCCCTCTTCTTATTCAGGTGCTATATTCATCGCCTCTCTCCCTTGACAGATCGGTAAACCTGGGATAACATTAGGTTGCAGCTGTTACTCCGGAAAAATAAGGGTCAGAATATACAGCCTGAATACTCACAGGAAAAACACCTTCACACACTTCACTGGATTTGGCTAAGGGGCAGAGCACAGCACAAGAGAGGCCACTGATCAGCAGCAAGAGGGAAGGACCCACTAAAGCCACTTCGGGGGTGGAGGGGGGAATGGAGGCTGGAATCTGACAGTCATCAGCTCAGAATCAGAGAAGAATCTTAACTTTTGTTAATATCTTGTTAAAAAATGGAAATCCAAAATAAAATGTAAAATTAATCATGCAAAAATTCTTTAATCTAGACCTCTAAGATTTGTCCTTTACCATATGCAATATATGACTCAATGATGTAACATTTTTTTTTAAATTATGAATATGGAAATCAGCTCTTAATTTTCAATTCTAAAGCCATGAGATATTATTACTCTCTAGTTTTTATGTTTTCCCCCTTACACTCTAACATGCTCCTTACATAAAATGATGAACTCATGTTCCTTCCCCAACCCAAGTCTGACTAACAAAATAAAACCAACAGACTGAATTACTCTAGCACAGGCAGACAGCCTCCTCTTCCAGTGTGTAACTCACCGCAGGAAGCGTGAGCCAGGTGGCAACAAGGCGGTTGTTGATCCAGCGATACCAAGACGGATTTACAAACATCAAAGGTAAAAATGGACCCAGCATGAAAATGCTGCCAAAAAAGCTTCCACAAAAAAGAATGAGTATAAAGTAAATCCCTTTCCATGACACCATGATTCTGAAAGACACAATAAAAATAAAAAGGATACATTGTTATTATACTTTTAACTGCTCAAATTCCAAATTAACATGATGCATATAATCTTTTTAAAAATTATTTTATTTTATTTTATTTATTTATTTATTGAGACCATCTCGCTGTGTAGTTCAGGCTGGCCCTGAACTCACTTTGTAGCCCAGGTTGGTTCAAACTCGCTGTGATTCTTCCAAATGCTGGGATTATGGCATGCGCCACCTTACAGTTATAATAACCTCGAATAACAGGGCTACAGAAGAGGCTCTGATAAAGATCTAAGATCCTGAATTTCACAGAGTACCCCGAGAACATGTTCGATAGGTCTGGAAGTTTCCAGTACATTAGAAATTAATATTCTCAGCTGAGTAAACATCTCCAGGGATGGGAGGAGAGCTGTCTAGTTGTAGGAAACTTTTTTATTTTTAATCATTATTAGTATGTAGCATGAAATAGTGTGTATCCTTTTGCAGGATGTTATCTAACACAAAATCTTAAAATATCCCAGAGTTGTTTTCTACTCAGAAGTAGAAATAATGAAGAACTGCAGACAGCTCACTTCGAGGTGAAGACAGGTAAAAGGAATGGCAGTTCAACAGGCAGCCGTAAGTAAAAATAAGTTTTTCTTAAATGTAGAAATATTTATTCTTTATATTAGACTCTAAAAATAACACCCTTGGCCGCTTGCCACTAACTAGGTCTTTATTAGCTGCAGGAATGAGTAAAAGCTGATCTCTTCACTGTCTTTACTGAACTATTTGCCAATAATCATTTTAGGGAGTCCTCAAAACCAGAACATAATTGCATACTGTTAAATAAGTGGAAACAACTTAAAATGAAAATTAAACATCTGATTTTATAATCTAGACCACATTAGAACAAAACTAGACTCTGCTTCAGAACAATAAAACTGTTAGAAACATTGCAACTATGAAAACAATAATGGCCTTAAAACTTATATATTAAAAAAAGTATTCCAAAGATCAAAACTTCTAAAATTTTAAAGAAGAGTCAACGACCAAAATAAAAAGAAAAAAAATTCAAATGTCATGCTTTGTAAAAATGTCAAACAATGAAACAGGTCAACCCCTTTCCAAGGCAGAATCATGTTTACCCAGGTACTAACTGTATTTTTACTCTATCAGTACTTGACAGTGTGCATACAAAATCCTTCAAAGCATACACAGAACGAGTATCTACTAAGAACTGGCTTTTTGGAGCCTCAAGAATTGAACGTTTAAAAGTGGTGAAGCAGAGCAGCATGAAGGGAGGAAAAGCGGGCCGGGAAGCAGCAGGCCGGCTCGCAGCGGGCTCCGGGAGCCTGGCTTCCCTTCTCTACAGCTAAGGTCCTCTTGGCTAGAAAGACACACGCTAAAGGCAGCTTCCTGCACCCTGTAACTTTTCAAGCCTGTGTAAAATGAGGGTTGGCACAGACTTCTAAATTCAGTATTCTCCTCCTCTACTTCTTTTCTGCCCTCCCCTCAGAAGAAAATTCTGCAGTGCTCCCTCTCTATTGTTAATGTTTCTGTCAACCACCCGTCAGGTTAGCTGTGTTTAGACACCGGACCTCCTCTCCCTGAAGAGCTGCACTGTCCACAGCTTCCCCCTTGAAAGGCTCTGGTATGCCTCTTTCTCACTTAGCAATTCTTGGGTAGATTAGCCATTCATTACCTAATGAAAGCTTTGCTCTGTATAGTGATGAAACAGGGGCCTAGGAGAGTTAGGATGCTTTCCTAAAGCTGCACAGGGAGTAAACAGCGCCCACTCTTTTCTGCCCAGTGCTTCTTCCTGTGTATCAGGGACCTCCTTCATGCTAAACAGCTGAGACCCAGAGTACCAAGGTAACCTGTAAACCTCTACTTAACTGAAGACTTAAAGGGCTATGTCAAACAAGTAATTATTCAGGCCATATCCGATCTAAAATTATTTTCCACTGTACTGCTATTTCTTTCCCGACCTTTCAATAGTGCGTTCATTTTTAAGGATTTGATAAACATACAGAGGAGTTCCTACTCATGCCAAACACTGTGCTAGTCACCTGGGGCACAACAATGAATGCGAGGACACTGCCCAAGCTCTCACAAATCTCACAAAGGGTTTCTCTCTGGAGTTCCCCCCACCCCCAGCTCTGCATGTAAACTAGCATTTTCCTGCATCTTCTTTCAAGTTTTAAGGAGTTAACAGCATACTTATTTGGAATAACAAATTAAAATCACAAATATACAAGACACTGAAAATGTCTAGTGCTGACAGTGATGAGTAACCTGAACTCACACACACTGCTAGTGAGAATACAAATTGCTATGGCAACTCTGGAAAACAATCTGGCGGTTTCTTACAATGTTTAATCTATGTTTACTGTATAACCTAGACATTCCACTACTGAATATCCAGGAAAATGAAAATGAAGGTTCACAGAAAATGTTCCGCATAATTATCCATAGCGATAACACTACTTGCTCAAAACTGGAAAGAGTCTGACTGTTAATCGGGACTGTGCAGATAAACTGCCGTAAATCCGTAAGGCAGTGTTACAGAGCAGTAAAGGCAACATTACCAACGCATGCAGCACTGCACTAAGTGAAAAAAGCCAAACTCAAGAAAACAAAGTTTTGTTTCACTGGACATTATTTTGTAAGATATTCCGGGGTTACACAAACCTGTAGGAGAGGGAAATAGATCAGATCAGCAGTTAGCAAAGGTTAGGGGTGCAGAGAAAGTCTGACTGAACAAAGGGGGTAGAAGAACCTTTTTGGTTTCTTGGTCGCAGTGGTAGTGACGAGACTGGATACTGAGTGGAAAACGCACACAAAGTACTGTTTTTAGAGGTAGGAAAAGAAGCCAGGGCTTCATGCATGTTAAACCCTGTTCTACTGACCTATACTCCCGAGATTATACATTTTACAAAGTAATAAACATTGCTGTTTTAGATTAAAAACTAAATTTAAAAATCATGCTATTGGTCTCAAGAGCCTGCGCCAGGAAGAGCCAAGTCTGAGGCCAGCTCAGCCAACTCAGCAGCTCAGGGGAGCGTCAGTCAACCAGTCAACAGCGCCGAGGTGTAGCTCTGTGGTAGTGTCTCTGGGTTTAATTCCCAGTACCAAAAATAAACAAAAAACTCAACTTATGCTATCTGAGATAAAAACTGGCGAAAATATTCCTTAAGCTCTGTGACTTGGAAAATTCTCTGTTTCTGGATTATTTCAATTATAATAACCTAAAATGCCATCTAGCTTTTAAAATATGCCAGGCTCAGCAGTAACAACAATCCCACAGTGCAGGTATCCTCACTGCCCCCATTTATATATGTAAGGACACGAGGTGACAAGAAGTGAAGTAATTTTCTCCAGGTCACACAACTTGAAAAGCACAGAGGTGGGACTGACCTCAAGGAATACATTATTAAAGTGGCCTACTACACTGTTGCTTTTTAAAGAATATATTGTTTTGTAATTTATACTTTATACCAACGTTACAATTCTAAAACAAAATTTATTATCTTGTACAAAAACTTTCTGAATTTTCCAAGTTCACAGGAATTCAGTAAATTAGACCTAAAACATCCCAACTGCTGAGCATGGTGGTGCATATGTCTTCCCAACCCTGAGCGGAGGATCCCCCTGAGATCAAGCTCAGTCTAACCACATGGTCTAACTACATTGTGGGACCATGTTTCAAGAAAGAGAAACTCCGAGCCTCGCGTTCAGAGGTGGAGCTTTTGGAAGGTGACAGGATCACGGAGGAGCTGCACCCCAGGGGGTTTACCCAGTGATGCGTTCAGCACTAAATGTGCCAGGCCGGTGGAGGTACATGGCTGCCTGGGGGCTCGGCCTGGCTCTGCCCCACTCGCTCAGCTCCTCTTCTGCCAGGTGATCAGCTTCCCTCCACCCGCCCTTCTAACGTGAAGTTCTGCTGCACAGCCAGCCGGCTACTCACTGAATCCTCTCAAACCCCTGAGGCGAAATAACCTCTCCCTCATTCAGCTGCAGGTATCAGATACAGTATTTTGTCCCCGTGACAGAAAAATGAGTAGAACAATGAGGAAGCTCGCTGGCTTTTTACTGGCCTATAACACCTAACACAACACACAGCACACAAAACTAGGGCTAGAAAACAGAAATGGGAATTATCAGCTTCTGCGAGAGTAAAGTCTAGTTACTTAACTGAGAAATTAAATAATTTTTTGCAATCCTTTAAAAAAGGTCGCACCACTAAACAATGCCATTTAATATTTTTATACATTTTTTACATAATACTGGTATGTTCTTTCTTTAAAAGGCATTGGAAAAAGTAGTTTTAAAATGGTGTGCCCATTTTACCACCAAATACAAACACAGAAGTAAACTGCAGGTCACCTTGAAAAATTATGCTACTTCAAGTGTAATCTAACAACTAAGAACATTGCTTTCCTTCAGAAACTTAATGCAATCTCCACTGCTCCACTTACTTCTTAGCTTATAACATGAATCTAACTCTGATGCTTGCCCAGGGTATCAAACCATCTATGGTTTAAATGGCTGCAAGACCAAACAATAGGCAAAACAAAGTACAGAAGCCAAGACAGGGCCCCCGCCCCCCCGGCTTACTAGCTGCGTACATTCCCCGGAGTATGGCAATGTGCAAGGGTATCCCTGACCAGGGTTATGAAAGCCACTAGGGGTAACTACATTTTACTCGTTCAGGAAGGAACCAGAGTTTGCTTCATAGACTCTCATTTTACTCACAAGCCAAGTGTTAACAACTAGCATTACTCTCACAGGAAGCTGAGTGCACAAGCAAAGTAATGTACTGTGATACACACTGTAACGGCTATATGAGGCATTCAAATGGTTTAGGGGCAGAGAAGATGCACTCCACTCCGAAGCACTATACTGGCCTTTCAGAAGACAAGTGGTTGGCAGAGGCAGAAAAATATTTCAGACAGTAAAACAAAATTATGCAGAGTCACAAACATTTGAAAAAGCAACGCTGGGTTAGGGGACTCC